TCTAGAGCTGTATCCTTTGCTGCGGTCACGGACTGTAGCTGCTGCAACCTCCCTGACGCGATGGAAACGATGATCCTGCCGCACGGCTTCCACCTCCAGTGCATGGGCCAAGGCGTTCTTAAGCGTCTCGTGGTGCCCGAGCCTCACAGCAGCTCTGACTTCCAGGTCACGGATGCCGTCGATGAATGTCTGCACCAGGTTCCCTTCAATGAGCGCAGGTACAGACTGGTATGCTTTTCGCACCAGCTTCTCCACCTCTAGAGCCCACTGCTGCAGGTTTTCGTTGATGCGCTGCACGCGATTTTTAAGCTGCGCACGAAAGACGTGTTCCAGGTGAGCGTCACCATATCTCGCCTCCAATGCCTCAAGGAGTTGATCATAAGTCACTTCCTCACCGAGAGCTTCCAGGACTGTTAAGGCCTGGTCGCGCAGGCCTAGTGTGAGAGCAGTCATGGCCTGACTTTTATTCCAGCCGTTCGCCTTCATAACAGCCTCGAACTGGATTTTGTAGGCTGACCAGGAAGAAGTCCCGTCGAACGGTGGCACCTTGAACCCACGTAGCGAAGGTGTAGTAGCTACTACGGGAGCTGTAGTTCCATCTCCAAGTTTGAGTTCGTCCAGTGATTTCTTCATGTCAGCCATTACGTTGTCAACCCGATTGTTTACTTGGTCGATTCGGGTTTCAGCTTTCTCGATTCGGTTTTCAGCTTTCGCGATTTGGGTTTCAGCTTCCGACAGGCGTTTGTCATGCTGAGCAACCCTATCCTTCACCTCCTTTATCTCCTTCCCGAAGGTAGCGTGAAGGTCCTTCATGAGGAGCATCTGTTCCTCCTGTCGGCGGGCCTGTTCCTCTTGTCCGCTCTGCAGCTGCTCTTTCAACTGACGGACCTGTTCCTCCTGTCCGCTCTGAAGCTGCTCTTTCAACTGACGGACCTGTTCGTCCTGTCGGCGAGCCTGCTCCTGCAGCATCACCATCAGAGCACCTAAGTCAGGTGCTGCAGATGTAGGAGCTACCGACGGGCCTGCAGCCGGTGGCTGGCCCTCCGACGTCTGCGGCGTTGCACCAGCAAATCTTCGTTGGTCCGTCTCCTGCTGGCGTTGACTTCGGGTACGGACACCCTCCGTTTCCTCCTTAGGTAAAATCGGCATTATTTAATCCCACTTCTGACACCAATTGTTACGAGCTTGAAGTTCGTGACAGTAAAAATTGCCGATAAAATTACCTAAATTAACACTTTAATTTACTTTACACAAATTAAAACTAAAAACACTAATAATTAAACACACTAATTCACTTAATTCCGCTCCGAAGCTTCGCTTGTGTCGCCGAGTTCAACTCTGCCCGATCGCATCTTGCAGCGCCTACTTATATAAATTAGCAAAATATCCAGAATGTTCAAGTAAACACGCGCAAGGTACCGAGAGTTCGAGTTTTAAACTTCAAGAAGTTTAGTTCTTTGGTTCGAGACTAGATGGCGCTAGTGCGCCGATTTTAGCGCGTAACAATACTTATTTTTATTCATTTATTAAAATAATTAATAAATAAAAATAAGTATACATTTATCTATATTGAGTACTAGTTTTTCCCCCGCGACCTCGCCCGCGTGGAATACGGATTTCATGGGTTTTAATTTTTTTTGCGCGGAACCCTAATTCTTTTTTCTAAAACAAAAGTAGTTCAAGTTATTCCTTATATCATCAGCTATCTGCCAGTGAAAGTCCCGTCAAAATAGCTCCAGCTGTTTCGGAGATTAGCTGGAACAAACTGACAGACAGACAGACCGACAGACAGACAAAAATAGTACTTTCATATGCATTTAATAAAAAGCTGTTATTTTAACATTACAAACAGACACTTTAATTTTATTTATTTGTAGATATAGATATAAGATATTATTCATATTGGTGTCATTTTAAAGGGAATATCATGTACTATTATAATAATAAAATAATTGTCTCCAGTAAATATTATACTTTTCTTGTAAAACTCGAAATAAGTAACAAATAAATACGATTTATTTTTATATTCCCATATGCTTTATTTTCATCCTTTATTTTTTATTTGACCAATTTTCTTTTAACAAAATTAAATTCTGAATTCGTTGAGCTTTTTGAGAATATTTTTATTTGAATGTTAGGTAGGTACCTATTTAATTTTTCGGTAGTAATCGTTTTTGTTGCGACAGTCTCGCGCGGTCGTAAAAAAAGTTACTGCGCGGACAGGTGGGACGAGATTCACTTGCGCGGCGTGGACGGTGGATAGGTAGTCTACCTACTGTTATTACCTAGATACCCACAACCTATACAACAAAATTTGGCAAACTGTCGCTGCGTCGTGGAAACTAAAATCTAAACTGCCTACCTACCTGCCTAAGTACGTCGGTACTAAGGAAAGAGTCTTGACGGGTCACTTGTCTTGATAAAAACATGTGTTTACATCTAGTGATATTGTGTGTATATAAAACAAAGTAAGAAGATAGGTAAGTATTTTTGAAGACAATTTATAGGTAGGCAGAACTAATTACAATTATTATCTAAATATTATAAATGCGAAAGTTTGGATGGATAGATGTATGTTACTCAATCACAGCTGAAGGGATCTGGATGATATTTAGCTCAGAGATAGGTTATACCTGGTCTGGAATAACACATTTTTTTTTATAGAAGAAGGGGCAAACGAGCATGTGGCTCACCTGATGTTAAGTGACTACCGCAGCCCATGATCAACCGCAACACCAGGAGAATTGCGGGTGCGTTGCCGGCCCTTTAGAAAGGAGTAAGCTCTTTTCTTGAAGGTCCCCAGGTCGTATCGGTCCGGAAAAATCGCCGGTGGTAAACTATTCCACAGAGAGGTTGTACGTGGAAAAAACTCCTTGTGAAACGTACAGTGGTGGACCGCCAAGCATCCAGATGGTGTGGATGGTATCGGGACGTTTGACGTGTAGTGCGTTCACATTTGATACCGTCTATTCAGGTATTTCGTTCCTGTGGGATAATTTTCGAGTTCACGCGTTTGAAGCCGCTGGCAACAGCTAGTACGGATATAACTATGTACGGATATGACTGTTCCAGTTCATGCTTCGGCGTCGTGAACTCTTGAGTGATCGCTGCATAACCACCCGGGGAAAACAAAACATAATAAAATAAGCTATCTATATTAGGTATCTATAGAGCCATAGAGGTATAGTATAAAGCGATAACGCAGCACCTAATAATTTAGTACGAGTTTGTAGGTAGGTACTGCTGATTTCTCAGCAAGCGTCGAGCGGCACAGAATAGGGTGGTATGTATGTATGCATCGTGTTCGTGTAACTTCGTTTTTGTTCTAACGGTTCGGAACGCCGTACGAACAAGACGTGCGTTCTAACTGCTCTTCACTGATACTATCTCTGTCGGGCACGATGCCAGGTGAGACAACGTGCTTTTTGGCCGCGCCCACCAATGAGTTCGAGTCCGCGACTTGTGCCACCTTAATGAAGAAAGTCACGAAAAAATAGTGAAAGAAAATGAGTGAGTACTCTATATACATACCTACATTTTATTATTATCACAAATGCAGTACTAATTTTGAATTGAAAATGTAATACTGCTATAAAGATAACCTAAATTTTTGATATTAAAATGAGCGATATTAAAAGTAGCCCTCTTTATATACACACAAACACACACACGCGTATAGTTTAAATTCTCAATTTAGATTCTCAATATGTATATATATACTCGATTAACCGGACTAATTGTTGCCGTTAGGGATTCGGATAATCGAAAATCCGGATGATCGAATGTATGAAGAAAAGCGGGTTTTGTGCATTTGTATTACATATGTACATACATAATGTTATGTGTTTATTAAAAACAACAATTTTAACGAAAATCAATGTTTATTAAGAAATTATTATTTTTAAGCTATTGCATAGCTTCTATCGCGGGCCTTGAGCGCGGGGACCGAATCCAGAAATTCCGTAACGAAAAAACCTCACGCTCCCCACTCCGACGGGCACGGAGGTGTGGCGTTGAAAGCCGTGCATCGTCTTACGTCGTTTCAGTTCGGCAGACTTCGGCACTCGGCAGACTTCGGCACGGTGTTTGTGTGCGTGCGACTAGACGTGTGCGTGTACACTAGCTGCTAACTCAATGATAAAAATTCCTGAATAACCTACATTTATTGTAAGATATTAAAATATTTTAAACAATATTAACTTCTCATTTATTCAATAAGAGAAAAAAAATTGTTTTCTTATCGATCACCACGCTCAAAAAGTGTAACTTGATTTAATATCAAAGACTTAACTGCATAAATAAAATAAATAAATAATTATAATTGCATAAGTTGATAAAAAATGCTATGCAATAGCTTTACCGCGGCAGTCACCGAGTGCCACACGTATTTTTATAATATTTTCAAGTACCTACTCTCTTTTTTAAGCATCTGATAAAGTGGTAAATTTTAGTTAGGTCAAAAGAAATACACATTTCTTCATTAGTTGTTATTTGTTCCTGTGTGACGGTGGTGGTGTAAGTTAAGTTAACGGTGTAGCAATGGTTTCAAGGGTCAGAAAATTGGTGAATCTCGCCATAAATAATGATAGTGCAGCAATAAATGAAAATACAGGTATGTTGTGAACTTCTTTTTCCTGATCTTATACCAGTAATTTGTGTCAACGTAAAAGTTTTTTGATGTGAACGTTAGTTTATCATTTTATTACAATGAGTAAATATGCAAAACTGTTTAATAGTTTTAGTTGAGATAACCACACCTCTTTAGAAAATTCTTTTTTTATATTTAAAAACATCACAATTTCCAATCTGTTATAAGTTTTTATTATAGTTGTTTTTTACAGGTCACGAAGACCCATTCAGTAATCCACAACCATACCATATATACATCTGGAACCCAGATTTTGATGAAACAGTAAGTGATTTTTCTAGTGACGATTCTGTGGCCGATCCTAACTACTTACTCCCCAGGCAGTCCTAGCTTACTTACACTACATGTAGAAATGGAAATTGCTGTTCCTAAAGCACCAGTGAATATACATATAACGCCAGACTATGAGACACCTGAAAACATTGGAGATATTTCATTGCTACAACAAAACCAATCAGTGTCCTGTAAAAAACAGAAGCAAGAAAACAAATTAAAAAGGAATCTTGGCCAATCTTATGTGACAACTTCTGGGAAAACTATTGAAAACCGTCAAATGAAGGAATTACCGTCGGAATAAGTGCAGAAAATAAGTGATGAGCAGTGCGCTTTGGTACACAAGGAGGTTTGGAATCTTGAGTCTTACGATTTAAGGGCAGCATCTTTGTTCAAGATCCAAGAGAAAAAAACTGAACGTCTTCGAGTCGAAGATCCTGTAAACAAAACTGTAGACTTACTGTACTGATACTTTGAAGTTGAAATGATACTTGTAAGTGTACTGTAGACAGTACACTTACAAGTATCATTTCAACGTCAATAGTGAAAAAATATCGGTGTGTCAAGGGTGTTTTCTAAAATCCCTATCAATAAGTGATAATTTTGTTAAACTAATCGGGTTGAAGAAACGTAGCAGCTCAAGTAGAATTATAAAAACAGACAAACGTGGGAAGAATACACCACCAAACAAACATTCTGAACAAAAAATTGAAGAGGTTTCAAATTAGAAAAAAGAAAAAAAAGAGGAAATTAATCATATCAATTCGTAATGATTTCTTATATTTACATAGGAAAAAGATATACATAGGAAAAAGATATAAAAAGATTTACATAGGAAAAAGACCCATACAAACCGATATTTAAACGGTGAATCTCACCACCATCCTTCACAGTTAGCTACCGTGGGCAAATCTTTGTTACAGAGAGCACGAGGGATCTGTGACAGCAAACACCTGGCCGCCGAGCTTCAGCACGTCAAGCAAGTTCTGCACGACAACAAGCTTCGGGTCCCGCGCCTACGTCACAGTGACCGAGTGAAGCCGGCCACAGTCGAGCGTGTGCCTGCTGTACTACCATATGTCAGAGGTGTCACAGACAAGATTGGCTATATCTTGAAGCGAGCTTCTATTAGAACATTCTACAAGCCGCCGAAGAAGATTAGTCAGTTCCTACCATCCGTCAAGTGTCATATCTATACAAGATGCAGGAGTGTACAAGCTTGATTGTGAATGTGGTCTCTCTTATATAGGACAAACAAAAAAGATCAATTAGAACCCGTGTAAAAGAACATATAGCTGATGTGAAGCATTAACGTTCCGGGAAGTCTGCAGTTTGTGATCATATCCTGGACGGCCCCAACCATTACATCAGATTTGATAGACCACAAATCCTCGCGAAAGAACACCGATTCCTACCAAGGATGATACGTGAGGCTATTGAAATTAAAAAACATCCTAATTTCAATAGAGAAGGAGGCTGGGTACTACCACCTGCTTGGGATCCTATAATCAATAAAATTAAAACTAAACCCAAGCATACCACTGCAAGACCTCAAGACATAGTCAGTTCATTTTGCATAGATCGGACCATAAACAATAATTAAAAAAGCTGAAGGTACTCCGGGTTTAACATTGACATCAGGACGTCAGTCATCTCAGTCCCCCGTGACCATGGGTGCTGGAAAGCGCCCGAAACGTCGGGAATTAAAAATAAAAGTAATTAAAAGTAAAAATAAACGCAATAACATCCGTAAAAGTAGTTTTAATCACATATCAATTCGTTTCCGATTTATGAAAGCCACTACACTAGACGCAAAGGCACCCGGAAATATTTACCATCGCATTTGACAATATCAAAAATGTATTCTCTTGATTCAACGTCGCATGAAAATTGTGTAAGTGACAAGATTTACCGTAGAGAATTCTACAAATTAAATTTAAGTTTTAAAAAACCAAATGTTGCGACCTGTTTAAAATGAAATTAAACATTGCTACGGACGAAACGAAAAAATCTGCTCTTGAAATAGAACGTGACGCATACTTGCTAGCAGCTGATATGGCTTACAATGAGAAGAAATTTGGCAAAAATACCGCAGTTAAAGATAAAAAATCAAGTGTCTGTCTTTTGACCTACAACAATGCTTGCCAACCCCAGCTTTGCAATCATCTGTGGCCTTAAAAGACAACTTTGGACCTTTAATCTTACGATACATGACAACGGAACAGGAATGTCAACGCACCACATGTGGTATGAGGGAATTTCGGATGGAAGAGCTAATCTAACAGCCTTTTGTTTGTTTTTATATTTAAAAACAGTTCCTGAAGAAGTTTAAGAAGTAATTTTATACTCTGATACTTGCGGAGGACAAAATATGAACACTCTGTGGCTGCTAGGTTTACCTACTTGTTGTCAGTAAAACCCTCTATTAAGTTAATAAATCATAAATTTATGGTACCTGGTCATACACATATGGAGGTGGACTTGGACCATGCAATTATAGAAAAAAAAGAAAAAAACTGAAATTGAAATTTATCACCCACATGATTGGACGCAATTAGTCAGGTCGAGCAGCAAAAAATTTACAGTTAAAGAAATGCGGAAAGCAGATTTTTTTGATTTCGCTGGATTATTGAAAGGGTTAATAGCCAGAAAAAAAAATACGATGATGGAAATATTTTCAAATGGCATGATGTGAAGTGGCTGAGTTACGAAGCTGAGTATGGCGTCATAAAATACAAAAAAATACTATTGCGGGCTCCAGACTCCTGTGTGATTCACCCCGTAATTTTGCCGCGAAGACGTCGCGAAAAACATATCCCTCCTCATTCGCAATCGTTCACAGTTTAGTTCGCGCGCTCGTCGAGAATGGACGCTGAAATATGCACTGCTATCGCCGTACGCTTTAGGCTCACGACAATTACGTGTGTATAAAAGATAAAAAAATCGTACTTGTAGTTTTTTTTACAATTATCGCTTTCTCCTAGAAAAGCATCGATCACGTCAAAGGCAATCCAAACGGGCTTGTAAATTTTGTCGCTGCTTGCTCCAGACTTCCTTTCAGAATCCTTCACCTTTTTTATAATTTCTATAATTGGACATTAGACTTTCTTTTTTTTTTTCAATCAGTCAGTTCAACGCTTTACGTGGCGGAGCCATGCTGCAGTTATATTAGTAGTATAGTTGTAGCACGAATGGGTCGGCTCGACCGGGGAAGGACCGTGCTCTCACAGAATACCAACGTAAAATAGTAACTTAATGCTGCTGTGTTTCGTATGGTGAGCGTAGAGAACGGGAGACCCTTTTTACTGGAAACGAGGCATTCCATCCTATTCCTCACGGGTGACAACTCTCTTTGATTCTCTCTCTGATCTCTCTCTCTCTCTCTCTGATCTGCATTTTGATTCGTAATCGAGTATAGATGTAGATGTCTATGGGCCACAGCATCCACATACCATCATCATGGACTTTGTGCTCGTTTGTCACCCCATCCTATAAAATAAAATAATATTCATTATTTTATTTTATAGGATAGGGTGACCGTCCGGTAAGACATGTAAATGATATTCGTATCCATGCGTCACGTACTTTCATTTCATTTTAATGATATTTGTGTTTAGCATCCCATAAAATGGGTCCAGCATGATAACACTCGATCGACAAGAGTTCCTGCTCGTTCGTCCAACTGACGCTCATTTTGACGCACCGTCCTCCATAAACAAATACAAATAAGCACAACCTCACAGCAACGAGTCTCGCACATTACCGCGGCTACACATTATCGCCGTGAACCTCCGTGAACAGGCGTGAACGTGAATGTGGATGGTTTTCGGGGGATTTCCGCGCGTTCACGCCTGTTCCCCGACCAGAGTCGGTATTTTGTCCCGCGACAAAGCGTTTCACGCACCCTTCGCGCGGCGTTCACGCGTACACATCCACATTCACGGGAGCGTGCCAGTTCGTTATGGACAATAAAGGCGTACGAACGATTTAATTTAGTCGTACACCATCTTCTTTTGGACGAGAATGAATAAATTTCTCTTTTTGGACGTCTAAATAGTGATGCGAGTATGTTGCCACAGCAATTTTTTTTATGGCACATGGTTAACAACTAGCACACAGTCCACCTGATGGTAAGTTGTTGCTACGGCCCGTAGACATCTACATCTATCCTCGATTACAAATCAAAATGCAGATGCGTTGTCACCCCTGAGGACTAAGATGAAATGCCTCGTTTCCAGTAAAAAGGGTCTGCGGTTCTCTACACTCACCGTACGAAGTAGTAGTAGTAGCATTAAGCTACTATTTTTATGCTGGTATTCTGTGAGAGCGTGGTCCTTCCCCGGTCGAGCCGACCCATTTGTGCTACAACTATACTACTGATATAACTACAGCATGGCTCTACCACTTATAAAATATATAATAAAAATATAATTAATAAATAAAGTTATTGCAGTAGCAGCTTCTACGTCCGTTTCGCGGCGGGTTTCACGAACGATTGTGTTTGCGAGTATCCCGTGAATGTGGAGGGCACGACTTGTGTCGTGAATTCACGGCGATAATGTGGAGCACGCACGCACAAAATAGCGACGCTGAACGGGGAAGAAGGCGTGAAAAGGTGCGAAGCCCGGGAACGGGCGCCAAAGCTATCCACATTCGCGGTTCACGCTTTTCACAGGTGTTCACGGCGCGAATGTGGAGGGCGCTTGTCAATAGATAAATGTAAAAAAAGGAATTTAATTTGATGCAGATTACTGCAAAGCCGGTACCAATAAGTATGGAAAAATAAAACCAAATACAATTTACGAATAGTTTTTTTTTTCAATTAAAATATTAAATAAAATTAATAAAATTATTATTAAATGTTTTTTTTTAGAGAAAAAAATTCTATACGCTTGAATACTGATTCTGATAACGCACTTAACGGGAACAACAGGGTTTAGTACACGTACATGTTGTATAATTGCACGTTAGGAGCAGTGCGTGGACAGTCAAGGCAACATCGCGGCAGCGCTAGGAGCAGAGCGACGAGTAGCGCGAGAACACAGACCACCCAACCTACGAGACATGTAACGAAAGGCGCCAAATTTCTGTACTTCATCTGCTCAACCAGAGCCTATATAGTTGAACACGAACACTACCCAGTTTAGTAGTGACCAGACAACAGACCTGTGCACTGCGTCTTTAGCGCTACATTTTTTTAATATAAAAAAAAAACAGTAAAACATGCCTACTTGCGTAGTAAAGTGGTATGGTAGTGATAGCAGGAAACACAATTTCAAGAAGGATAATATCACGTTTCACCGG